ATAGATGCACAAATCTCTGTATCTCTGTTCTGCAGAACACTCTTTTAGGCTTGTTCAGTTCAAATACTACAATCATTTCTCAGATTATTGACGGTAAACCTGCCTGAATCACAATCACTGAGTTCTTTTCCACCTAATAAAATGTGTAGCCAGAGACAAAAGGCCTCTGAGAGAAGGTTTCTACCCACAGCATTTCTGAACCTTCTGACAAAAAGCGCTAACAAGGAATGCAACCTGCTTTAAGGTGAAGTCTTATGGAGTTATAGAGCCGTTCTCATGACTCACACTTAACAATGAAATCAGCACAGAAGTGACAATGTCATTATGTCGTCTCCAAGAAGATCTGAACTGAAATGTGTCGTGAGGAATTCTCCATGTCTGAAAGCTTAACCCTTTAAAGCCTGATCCAACAATAAAATAAAACTGAAAATTACTTTTTTTTTGTTTGAATTCCTTATTTGGCCTTTTAACAAAATATGTAGAAATAAAAAATAAAAATACATTTTTAGTATTAATATTTATTACTATGCGATAAGTCAAGATTGTTTTTTGTGTAGTCTTCTGCCCCCTGTTATCAGGTGTATCTGATTGTGTACAATAGGATTTTGAGCAAAGTTTTTACCATTAAGTTATGCAAAAGGTGTCAGACGCAAAACATTTCAGAATCAAAATATGATATCTGTATCAAATATGATACATTTGGGTTTACAGGGTTAAGTTTTTGACATTTTCAGAGATAAAACCATTTGCTTGGATTCTTTTATGTAATTTAATGAAAAAATGCTCTAAATTTGGTCACCGTAATCAAAATTGTGTGGTGTGTAGTACCTAATATAGTACTAATGTTGTACATATATGTAATTTTGTGTTCCAGTGGTGGAAAAGCCATTAAACCTCTGGATCAGACCCTGTAAAACGAGATCCAAACCATATATCTCCAAGTGAGTTATTCCTATAGTTCAGACGCTCTCTTGTTTGGAGAAGCCAGTGCTGAGAGGGCATAAAGTGGAAACCATTTGTCCCTGGGTTCAGAATTAGCTTCATAGTTTTGCAAAGATGAGCAGATTTTTGAAGACAGTTATGTGTCAAAGCTGCCCAATACAGGACTAAGAGGGAGGTTGATGAAGGACAACAAAAGTTGGTTGGGTTCCTAAACTAAACCCTGAACAAGGGAGTCCAAAAAACGGAAATCCAAACCGAAAAGAAGACACTGTGACACTGGGTGTCTAAAGACGAGGGACAATCAACAGAGCTCAGAACAGCTTAACAAGTAAAGAGCTGAATAGAAATTCACAAAGGAAGAAACACCATCTAAACGTCAT